TTTCTTAAAGATATCAATCCTATATAAGGTGTCTTATATTGGAAATAAGATTGATGGAATCCTTAATTGAATATGATTATGATACTTGACTTGGAGGCTAATAAAGTAAGTTTAGGTTTCCTTTATGGATGGAAACCCTAGCTTTTAGCCTATATAAAAACATCAGTCCCTATAAGCCCTAAAAAACACAACATAATGCTTCCTATAGAGAAGTTGTATTCGGCTAGAAGTTTATAGAAGATCTTGGTGTTGTCGTGCCCTGCTTGTTTTCGTGTTCGACTTTCATGGCCGCCGTTGGAATCAGGTTAGTCACTCATTCTTTTGTGTTTTAATTGTATAACCTTATAAGGCTAACAGCACCCTCATATGCAAGAAAAGGTTGCAACGGAAGTTCGAGAAGTAGCAAATTTGAAAGATGATTCCAGCATTGTTGAACTTGCAGATTATCTTAATGAAGATGCCCTTAATAAAATGCAGTATCTCTTAGCAGCTTTGACTAAGACACAGACGCTCTACCCTGCAATTCCACTGGTAATTTGACTAACATCTTAACTAAATCTAATGCATGCATACTGCAAGGGAAATGATTTCAGTGCGCTCCCGTTTATTTTTCTCACTTAAATTTCTTTTGATTTATTCAATTTAAGGATAGAAATACTCCACGAATTATCTTTTATTACTTTTTAATTAATAAAAACACCGCTATATAAACCATGCACTATAGTCAATAGCATTGATCTAAGTTTTGTCCATTAGAGAAAATGGTTTGTGTTAATTTTACATATATAAAATAAATGGGTAAACGGTTACCCGTTTATAACTGCGGTTAATACCTATAACCACTCATTTAAATTTCACAGGTAAACGGTTATACCCATAACCGTAACCGTGAAGTTTAAATGGCGGGTAACCGCGGGTATTTTGCGCATCCCTAGCTTGAAGTGGCTAGTAAACTCCGGTGTGGGTGATTCAAACTGGATCAAGTTCACCGAACCAAATTGTCGAAGCAAATTACTTTGGTATGCTCCAAATTCGTAGGCGAGATTCCTTTCATCAAGAAAGATCTACTTATCCTCCATGAAAGGAAAACCTAATCAAAACTTGATTAGGGAAATCCCTCGAGTATTTAAAAATTCTTATTGTAACGAGATTGACATGCGTCTCAAGCAATCATCATCCTAAGAGGAAAAGATTTCCTCTAGGATTCACCTAGTTGACTAAAGATTACTGTTCTTAAAAGTTATAAGGAGTATTCCTTAACTAGTATATACTATATATAAACCCCATAGGGTTCATATCAAATGTAGCACATATGTTGGAACTAAAATTTTGCACCACTGCTAATCATAAAGAATGCGAGAACGGCCACCTACAGATAAGAACAAACAACCATAGTTAACTAAAGTTGTTGGGTGTGGTACCGCCAAAGGATTTTCGAAGGTCAAGTTAGGATAAAATCTTATAACTTAAGCAATAGACAAGAGACTGAAGTGTGTGTTATGTGTGTCACCATAGATGAGCCCTAGATGAGTGTATTTATAATAGTCGGAAGATAGTTTTTTCAGGATATAGAATTTGTATTAAACCGAAAGAATCCTAAAGATATCCAGCATAAACAAATTGCTTCATTTGAGGATTGTAACTACTTGCGAGTATGCGGCACAAGCCAATCTCGAGATTGTATGAATCTCGAAAAATACAGGAAACCAATATGATCCTTAGTTAGAGCAGGTTTTTGTATCTTGCAGAGCAAGCATGGTCGATCTCAACGAGGCTTGCTGGTTCACCTACCATTTTGGAATCCAACTAGATGTGGTGGCATCGTTGATCCGTTTAGCCTTTACTCCGGTCTCAAAAAATTATGGTCCCACATCATACTATCATTCTTGAGCCTACTATCTAAGTTTTAAAGACACTCCTACTGACTTGATCGTTGGAGAAACCTTGACTGGTACCATGCCGGTGCATAGGTTCTTTATGATCTCTACTTTCTTTTGCATGTTACTGGTGATGGTTCTTAAATCTATGGAGGTACGGAAGTTTAATTACAACAAGAGGTAGATCGAATGTATAACTAGATTTTGTACTCTGAGATTTTGTTTGGGTTGGAGGACAATTCCACAACTGAAAGAAAAAAATTAACTGTAAAAACACATTTTTTGTCTTTTCAAAGAAATAGGTTGTTTAGTATCTCGTAAGTTTGGACTTTTGAGATAGGCTTACCAAACAAGGATTTTAAATTTGTGGCTTAAAAACTGTTTTTAACAAGTTGGTGTCAAGAGCATACTCGAAGGACTACATTTTTTTAATCAATTTGAAACCCTTTTTTTTTTTTTTAGCAAGTGTTTGGGTTAAAAACTGAACTTTAGGCCCAAGGATGGAGTCGGCCCAAAAGAAGGCCTGGAGGAATAAAAGATCAAAGCCCAGCCGAGACTTGGGAAGGCAGGAAAGGGCCTTTTCTGACTTGATACAATTCACAAAGGCCACTTGCCTACCTACCCAAGGACCAAGTGGTATAGACTGATCAGACTGCACAGCCCATAAAGTACTTTATGGTGGCATTACATGTAATAAAGCTGATGAGTCATCACCCTCAGACTGCATTCGGGCAAAGCTGTTGCTACAGGAGCCAAACCAAGTAGTCTATAAAAGGAGGAAGAGAAGGCAGGAATAAGGACACTCAAACAAACAAACAAAAGCACAAACTCTGCTCAAAAAGCCAGATTTGCCTTCAAACGAAGCTGTAGTCAGCCCAAGCTTTCATCCCCCTCGGGATAATCTTTTCTCCTAAACTTTGTAATAGCTCTGCTACCTTGTTCAAACTTGTTGTAGTATCGATTCACCCTTTTGTATTCTCCTTTCCCCTCTCCACCTAAGCTTTCAGACCTGTGATAGAACCACAAAGATAGGGACCTGCAAGACGATCAGCCTTAATTGATAAGGTTTAATCTTGCCCGACCTGCTTTGTTATGTCTTTGTCTTTTCTTTCTTTAAAGTCTAGCGATATGTTGTATGTTTTTAGTTATATGCAAGTTGTTCCTAGCAAAATCACGATGACAAAACTTTCTCAACACTTGGATTTGATTTAAATATATCTTCAATGCTTAAATTAGATCCAAGTCCTAAGCCCGCAGGCATGTAAATCTGATTAGTTTAAAAGTCCTTGGCCTCAAGGCATAAAAAAGAACTTTATGTGGACTTAACCCATCCACGACAATCCTTGATAAACGAGAAGTCCGAAGTTACTTGGGGCGCAAGTAATCGACCTACCTTCTAGTTTTCTTTCTATTATATCATGATTATCATAGAACGCTTAAGCATGGGATGGACTCTAATGGAAAGCCTCAAGGCCTACACTTAAGGCCCCACAAAGGCATCCATTTGGATTCATCCTATTCAGCGATCTTAAGAGTCTAAGCATAAGAATGAACTCTGATGGGAAGCCTCAAGGCCTACACCTAAGGCCCCACAAAGGCACCCATTTGGGTTCGTTCTATTCCTTGGATTCGGGTAATCAGAAATATAATAGTTAGAAGATTCCTACAATCACAAGAATACATATGATGCGTTCGAGTACTGGTTTAGTTATGTACGGGAAGCCTCAAGGCCTACATTTAAGGCCCCACAAAGGCACATGTTATAACTAAACACGGTTTCTTGGATTCATTATATATATACAATGAAAGAACAACAACCATTTTACATCTGCCATGCTAAAGATGGCAGTGGCACGCCTGAGCACCTAAATGTTAACCTTGATTGTGAGCCTCAATGCCTATACCTAAGGCCCCACAAAGGCACCTCTCAAAGTTAACTCTGTCCTTCTCTTTCAGCCTTGCCCGAAGAGCCTTGCCCGACGAGACTTGCCCGACAACGCCCAGAAACGAAGTAAAAGCCCGACAGCAGCCCTCAACCGATGCCAACCTCCAGGGGAGCTGTGTGCTCGTCGGCCAGGAAACATCCCCAGCGGAAATTCCTGCCACGAACATAGTTTTGGCACGCCCAGTGGGACCCAAACTTCCAGATCTTGCATGTCCAAAAAGAAGAACCATAAACTTGATAAAAAGAATCCAAATGAAGGTCTTCTCCAAATGGCAGAACAATCAGAAAATCCTTCTTCCCCATCCGGACAGGTGGTTCCAGATAGCCCGACTACATCTGAAAGATCACAAGGAAAGGGAAGTAATGAAGAGCTACAAGCTACAATGATCCAAGTGTTAAAAAGCATGGAAAAGATCTCCCTAGAAACAAAGGGAGAAGTAAGCAGACTCTGTATGCTCACAGGGAATTTACAGAGAAGGCTTGATTTGGAGTTCTCTACTCCAAATGATGCTCAAGGAAGTGGAATGAGCCGGGTTATCACGAGAGATGAGCCAATCATTCCCTTATTTCCACTACTAGAAGAAACAGGAGATAGGGGAAAGAAAAAGGTAATTCTTGAGGGAAGTCAACCAGCGATGGAGCCGATCCCGAAGACAGAGTTTCTTAGTTTCCCATTATTATAATTTAATAATAAGGGAAAGGACGAACAAGAAAGGATGAGGTACGGAATGCCAGGTATGATGGGAGAAACTAGTGGAAAAGAGACTACCACTACTACTACCACTACTACGTCAGATAAACCTCCACCCTATAGACCGCCCCCGATGGTCAATAAAGGTGGAGGATCTAACTGGAGGAAACCCAAACCAAGGAGGGAAGCGAATGCGGGTAATGACCGGAGCCCGAAGATTGGATCAGCTATCCTCGATCATAATGATAATTTAGCCACTCAACAACTAAGGGATGAATTGGCTGAGTTAAGAAGAACGGTGACTCAAAATGCCCAGCCGCGGGCTCGCCCAGTGTTCAGGATTACTTACCAGAAGCCGTATCCTAAACATATCGACTAGCTAAATCCATTCCCTCTCAACTTCAAGATGCCCGCATTCCCCACCTTCATAGGTGAAGACAGCAGTGTGTCTTCCAGAGACCATATTTTCAAATTCTCCAATCACTGTATGGCGTATGAGGACAATCCAAACTACAAATTGAGGTTGTTTGGAACTTCGTTGGCAGGACTGGCGTCTCAATGGTATTCTCTATTACCCCCCAACTCTATTGCCAACTGGGGGCAAATGGAGATGGCTTTTCATGAACAGTTCTACAGGATAGAGCCAGAATTGACCATCAATGATCTAGTGGAGGTAAAACAATACGATCATGAATCCACAGAAGACTTCATGATGAGGTTCAGGAGGACCAAGATGAGATGCCAATTCCCCATCAACCAAGCACAGCTCATATCTATTGCTCAAAGGGCTTTAAAATTACCTTTGAGAAAAAGGTTATATGATGCACAGTTCAGTGAGCTGCAAGAACTCGTGATTGCTGCCACGAAGTACGAGAGGTTGTTGCAAGAGGAACAGCAAGTGAAGCACACTTCCAAAGTCCCTCATTTCTACAAAAACAAGGCTATTATTCACCATGTGGAGGTAGGAGAAACCAGGCCCGAACACGAGGATGGTCGTGAGGAAGAAAATATAGAAGTATGTGCTGCTGAGATGACTACACCCTTCAAACCATTGACGATCAAAGGATTAGTCCAACCTGTCAAGGATCAGAAAATCGTGATGAATGATGGTGGTTTCGTCCCCATGAAGCCCCCAAAGTATCAGAGTTATTCGTTTGATTTAACCAAGGCACCAGAGATCTATGAAGAGTTGGTACGGGCGAGAGTAATTTTGCCCGACAGTGCCAAAAAGATGCCCAAGCCCGAGGAACTCAGGGGGAAAAAGTATTGCAAGTTGCATTATACCTTCAACCATTCTATAGTTAATTGTGTCCAGTTTAGAGATTGGGTACAAGACCTTATAGTGAAGGGTAAGCTGCTACTTGATTCACCCCAGGCCAGTATGATGGTGGATACTAACCCTTTCCCGGAGGCTCCTATCAGTATGATCAACCTCATTTTTAAGGAGCCGGGGTCATCAGCTGAGTAAGAGTGCCATGAGGGGACCAGAGGACCAGGGACAGATTCTAAGGTTGTCAACCATAAAGGTGGAGAAGAAAAGCAAGTAGACAAGGGGGCAAAGAATTGCCCAAGGCCAGTTCGAACAAAGCAAAGCAGGAAGCAAATTACATATCCATTCCAATATAAAAAGGGAGTTACAAATCATTCTATTCTAAAAACTTTACATCTTTACAAAGAGTGATTATTCTAGAATGGTATGTTCGCATGATGGTAAAAATTCTATTAGGTTCAGCTAAGACAGTATGATTGTTTACAAGTTCGGACTTGGCTTGTTCTAATTCCGAAGATGCCTTTTCTACCCCTTCGATTTGAAGTTCAAGTTTGTCTAGAAGAAGTGCTTGTTCTGCCTTAAGGACAATCAGTTGCTCTTCCAGTTTCTGGATTTCAGAAGAAACCACTTTAACTCTTTCTTTAGTCTGCATGCTTACTTCCATCAGTCGGTTAACTTGGGTAGAAGAGTTTGATTCTTTTTCCATAAAACATTTTGCCCGGTTAGCCTGTCTATCCGCTCTCTGGTATTGTTCCCTTAGAGCCCTCAGGTTCTCGAAGAAAGAAAGAAAGGAATCATGCTGAGGCTTGGACAAACAACCAGTTTTGAAAAATTCAGTTATGACCTTCTCAAGATCACAAAGAGCATTGAGACTAAATGACGCGGTGAATTCCTTCTTTGCCCATTCCTGAAAGATTTGCTGTTGCTCCGAAGACATGAAGGTTGCTGAAGGCTGCGTTGAAGATTTCAACCGTGTCTCAAGTCGCCCGAGTGCTTCAAAGAGTTTGAGCAGCTTGGCAGGATCAGAGGATGGGAAAGGAGGAGGGTCTGGCGTGATAGTTCTCTCCGATGAAACAATGCCTATTGAGGGGGTAATCTCTGCCTGTTTAGTCTGCTCAACTTCAGAGGGGGAAGTACCAATACCTCCAGAAGATGAATGAGGATGGGGGCGCTTTGATTTACGAGCTAATGGAGGAGGGGAAGTTTCTTTTGAAGCTTGCTACAAAAACCAAAAGACTCGGTCAAGATAATCTGAATACAGGTTAAAGCAAATGAGGTTCTGGAGAAAAGAAGTTTACCTGACTCAGCCTCGGAGTTTCACCAGAGAATGTACTAACCCTTGGTTGGGGAGGAGGTTCTTCACCACCGGCAGGAGGGGAATGAGCTGCGCCTGAACTTGTACCTGCATCCTGGATATATCCAAAGAAATGAGTAATTATCAGCAAAAGGGTCACCAGAGGAAGAAGCAAGAAGAAAACATTCCAGTACCTGAGCCTGATCTGAATGAGGAGAAGAAGGTTCATCAACTATCGGGCGAGCAAACGCCTGCGAAGTCGCTACATCTGAAGCTACAGGGATCTCAGGAACTATGGGTTCTTTATCCGAGACCACTAGTGAGGGAGGTGGCTCATATACTGAAGATGGCTGCAGGAAACATAAAAAAGAGTTAATTGGGTAGCAATGCGCAGAATTTCAAGGAGGAAATAATAATTTACCAAGGGATCATCCTCATCCACGAAGTGCAATACAACTACTGTGGACGGATCGAATTGAGAGGAAGGGGTCGCATCCAGAGCAGTGGAAGAAGTCATAGATCTCAGAGGGGGTCCATGACTAGGCAAAGAGGCAGATGCACCAGCCTAGGAAAACAAATAGAAAAAAGGAAAAGGGCTTAGCTATTAAATCCATAAAATTGGAGGTTTAGAGGTAGGGAAAGTACCTCAGCAGGATTGGTCTCAGAGGGGGAAAGATTTTTCTGTCGGGCAGGTCGTGGAGAAGCCTCGGGCGAAGAGAGCATTTCATTTCTCGCAGCCTGATCAGAGTAATCAAATTCAGGGTTGTATGAAAGTAAGAAAGTATACAATAATATCAGTCATACCTCGAGTTCTCGAAGGGCGGTGTCTCGCAATTCTTCGGCCTTTTTAAGCATAGCAGCCCGTAGTGGTTCCTCCTTGGAAGCAAGGATTGGCCTTTTAGATGCTTGAGGTTCTGTTGATCGATGAAAGGGACAATTAGATAAAGGAGGAAGACAGCAGTTCGATATAGAAAAAGAGAAACTCACTCGAAGATTGTTGTTTCTTTCTGCCTGCTTCAGGAACTGGAGCAGAGGTGACTCCTGATTTAGAAGGAATAGTAATCCTTGCCCGCTTACTCTTTCGAGTAGGAATTGGTCTTGTGGTTGTCGTAAGAGGTGCTGGATCAGGGTCAGAATCTTTGGCCATGACCACTTTCTTTCGCTTAAGGGCTTTAGTGATTGCCGTGGGTGTTCCTTCAGCCCCTGAATCCCCAATGGATTCTGAGATGTCCGTCCCTTCCCCGGCTTCTCGTCTCTCAGCCTCTGCAGCAGCACCATGAAGAATTGCAGCATCAGCAGAGTCATCTTCGGATTCAATGACTTCCAATTCAACATCCACTGGAGCTGCAGAAATCAGCAAAAGTAAGAATAGAAGGACTTCAGAAGGGAAGCCAAAGCAGGTTGAAAGAGAAGTACCTATCAGAAGTGACCGGTTTTTTTCTTGAATCATCTCCTTCCAATTTGCAAGCTCGCCCGAGCCAGGATATGATTTAAGAGAAAGCTGGCTGAAGATGCGATCGTGATTCATCTTCAAATCTCCTCCATACTTTTTAGTCCATTTCTCCTCCCACCAAGAGGAGAACAGCGAGGTACATTCAAAATTAAGAACAACGGGATGTCGGGCTGCTTGACTCATTACATCCAGGCTACGTCGGGGGGCTCGGAATGTCACTACAGTTGGGGTTTGTAACCGGAATGAGGTGCCACAATGGACAGAGTCGAAGAATGAGACAGGTATAGCTTGCCTAAATCCTAACTGCCGACTGCAGAAGTTAGGATGGTACACCTCCAAGCCTCGATCATATCTATTGCCCCGAACCCCCCAGGCCAAGTCTCTTGGTTGAATACAACTGATAAATTTTTCTCTACAAAAGGAGGTAGCATCCTCACCAGGGGCATCTTGGAAGGCTTGGTCAGAGAACCAAGGGTATCTTCTCAAAACTGACGCACCCCATTCCAAGTCTGATCGAGTCCTGCAAACTCTGAAAAAGTAAAAGCAGGCGAAGGTGGAATGGTCTGTAGGAGGAGCTTCTGCTAGAATTCGAGCAGGAGCCACACCCTCTGGAAACTCTAGATTGGCAGCCCGAAATTCTAGAAAATACCATTGCAGCCAGATTTGTATCATCCAAATTGGTCCATTCAAGTTGGTCTCGAAGGGCTCATCCCGAGTCATTTCAAAAAGAAGGTGATAAAGGTGGGAGAGAAGAAATGGACCTGTGGCTACATCATCAAAATTATGAAGAACCTCCACCAAGGGGATCCATTCTACCCTCACTCCCTTGGATTTGTTGGGGAAGACATGCTTATTGAGCCAGTAAAGGAGAAAGTACATATGCTCTTGATTTTTGTCAGCCCGAGGGGAGCCTACTCCAAAATTTTCCTTCACAAAAAGGATGAATCCCTTAAAGGAGGTCCCATAGCTCTTGAAAGTAACGGAGTTATAGCTCAGAGGAAGGAAGGTTGTGGAAGAACTCGAGCTCCCGGTGGTAGAAGACGGGACCCAATCTTGAGAAACATCTACTATCCTGCCTGACGGCCTCAAACCGAAGACCTGGGCCATATCAAGAATGGTGGGAGACATGGGGCCCATACGAAAATCGAAGGTATTTGTGCCTGTATTCCAAAAGAGGAGAGCAGAAGCAAGCAATTCGGGCTTAGGGACAATGGAAGTCTTCGAAAGCTTGACCAGTTCATAAATACCGTTATTCATCCATTTCTGCTTGAAGAAAGGCTCTAATTCGTCAACCCATTGGGCCCAGGTGGGATCATTCATCAAGGGAAATCCTCGACGATATGATGACCATTTCGAGGAAGAAATGCCCGACCCAGCCAGATAGGGATTTGGGGAAAACCAGTTTCCCCTGGGCATGTTGTCTTCCACTACTGAGGGGACCCGGGAAATCCAAGCGGGACCCAATGATTGTACCCCATGCGTCTCAAAGAAAAGCTCAGAATGCAAACCTGCCCGCGGGCGATGCAGCCCGTTGAGTAGACGGCGTAGGGTGGTGATTCCGTCGCCAGACTCATAAGATGGTGGGGTTTGGCTGGATCCTGAAGCCATTTGATGAAGATAGAGAAAGAAAAGAAAGAAAGAGGATAAAGATGCAACCTTGTCGGGCAACAGAGAAAGATAGTGGGGAAGTAGGAAAGTTTTTTTTTTCCCGCAGAAGGATTCCTTTCGCAGAAGTTCAATCGCAAGGTATTCGTGGGTTTAATAGGGAATCTCTTTCAATTAATATTGGCGCCTGGAATTCCAGGTTTAATATCAATTGAAGGGGGCACTGTTTGGGCTAAAAACTGAACTTTAGGCCCAAGGATGGAGTCAGCCCAAAAGAAGGCCTGGAGGAATAGAAGATCAAAGCCCAGCTGAGACTTGGGAAGGCAGGAAAGGGCCTTTTCTGACTTGATACAATTCACAAAGGCCACTTGCCTACCTACCCAAGGACCAAGTGGTATAGACTGATCAGACTGCACAGCCCATAAAGTACTTTATGGTGGCATTACATGTAATAAAGCTGATGAGTCATCACCCTCAGACCGCATTTGGGCAAAGCTGTTGCTACAGGAGCCAAACCAAGTAGTCTATAAAAGGAGGAAGAGAAGGCAGGAATAAGGACACTCAAACAAACAAACAAAAGCACAAACTCTGCTCAAAAAGCCAGATTTGCCTTCAAACGAAGCTGTAGTCAGCCCAAGCTTTCATCCCCCTCGGGATAATCTTTTCTCCTAAACTTTGTAATAGCTCTGCTACCTTGTTCAAACTTGTTGTAGTATCGATTCACCCTTTTGTATTCTCCTTTCCCCTCTCCACCTAAGCTTTCAGACCTTTGACAGAACCACAAAGATAGGGACCTGCAAGACGATCAGCCTTAATTGATAAGGTTTAATCTTGCCCGACCTGCTT